AGTAACAGAATAATTTGATAGGGCCCTCCACCTCAGCCGAGGTGCTGTTATGCCATTCACCCACATCATCCCCCGGCTATGTGGGTTGGAAACGGGTGTCCGGCACACTCCTCCTCAGGCGGTAATAGCACGGAGGCCGGCATACTTGTGACTGTGGACATGTGCAGACTGCACCGCTGAACACTTCTTTGATGTCCCGAGAGCCTCAGGCTCATCCTAGAAATACAGGAGGGTGTGCCGTACATGATTTCAAAGTGGTTTAAACCCAAAGGTGATAAGGGGTGTTCTAGTCTCGGAAACAGGTCGTGAAGGGAAGGAGGTCACCCAGTCTCCGCAGTCTCCAGGGCCATTTAGTCAGGGTTCTCCTTTATATGTTCTATTCATTCGCTCTTCCTGCCTAGAGCTACGGGATTATATGCCACAATGTAATTTTCCCAATCTATCCCCATAGCCTGGGCCAGCCTTGACATACACTGACAGACAATCGCAGGTCTCACTGTTTTCTCTCTATTATATTATATGATATACTAGAAATTACAAAGTAAGACTTCAATTGGAAATAGAAGACAAAGTTCCTATCTATTTTTATTTTTTATTTTTTATTTTTTATTTTTTTTGAGACAGAGTCTAACTTTGTTGCCCAGGCTAGAGTGAATGCCGTGGCATCAGCCTAGCTCACAGCAACCTCAGACTCCTGGGCTCAAGCAATCCTACTGCCTCAGCCTCCCGAGTATCTGAGACTACAGGCATGCACCACCATGCCTGGCTAAATTTTTCTATATATATTAGTTGGCCAATTAATTTCTTTATGTTTATAGTAGAGACGGGGTCTCGCTCTTGCTCAGGCTGGTCTAGAACTCCTGACCTCGAGCAATCCGCCTGCCTCAGCCTCCCAGAGTGCTAGGATTACAGGTGTGAGCCACCTCGCCTGGCCTAAAGTTTCTATCTTTAAAGAATTCAGAATCCAAACCATTTGAGCTTGATAGCATCAAAAGTTGTGACAGAAAATGTGTTATAAAATATGATGTACTACTCCAGTATGTATTGAGAAACAAAACTGAGAGTTATTTGGGGGGGTTTTGTTTTAAAGTCTCTTCTCTTCCTTAGAAATTCAGTTGTTCTTTGCAGGTCTTCTCTTCACTATACCAAGAACATTTTGATCTTCCTTCAATTTAAACTCCTCCTATTTATGTATACCAGCTACATCTATCAATTTTATTATAGGTTCCTACTGTCCTATTTTATCACTATAACCATTTAACCCTCCTTATGCATTGTGCTCAGCTGAGTACTTTATAAAACAAGTCAAGCAGATATAGACCATATCATTAATAACTTAAAATTAATGGTACCACCTTTTTTTTTTTTTTAAGTTTCTCAAGCTTAAAATTTCTTTGGTTTTTTTTTTTTTTTTTTTTTTTTTGAGACAGAGTCAATCTGTTGCCCAGGCTAGAGTGCAGTGCCCAGGCACGCACCACCGTGCCCAGCTAAATTTTTTTCTATATATTTGTAGTTGACCAAATTAATTTCTTTCTATTTTTAGTAGAGACGAGGTCTCACTCTTGCTCAGGCTGGTTTCAAACTCCTGAGCTTGAGTGATCCACCTGCCTTAGCCTCCCAGAGTGCTAGGATTATAAGCATGAGCCACCATGCCCGGCCTTCAAGCATAAAATTTCAACTGTATTTGGTTCCTTAATTGCCTCACCCTTGTAATTAGCTACCAGTAACTAATCCATTCTCTCTCTAAATCTCTTACATTCAAGCCTTCCTTTTTGTTCCCACCACCTATACTGTAATTTTTGTTTCTCACTAAACGACTATAGTAGCCTACTAAGTGGTCACTCTGCCTCCAGCTACTCCCCATCTGCAATTCATTCTATACTGTGCTTTCAGGTAATGTTTTTAAAATACAGTTCATATATGCTCAGAAGCCTTCAGTGGTTCCTTTTCTTACTGAATATTGTTCTTGGCATCACAGTTACCTTTAGGCAGGTTCTAACCTATTTTCCAAGTTGTTTCCGTACTTATTCCTTTTGAGTATGTTATACTGTATTTCCAGTTTAACTAGGAGATACAGGGTGAGATTAGCAATTCTTAAATAGCACATAACATGCTGATTATGATGTAGGGGCATTTTAACAGAATACTCCAGATATTTTTAAAATAGTGTGACTAGTGCAATGAGTGGGACCACATAATCTTATTTCCATACCATTAGGTATGACAGGCAACTACTTCCATAAAAGAAAGTAGAGTTAAATGTCTGATAAGTGCTCCTGAAGTCTACAGATGGGAAAGTGGTACAGAAATGTCATCTTTGCACAGTAATAATCCTCTGCTTTCTCTTTCTTTACAGACAATGTTAACTGCTATCTCCATGAGTGCCATCGCCACTAATGGAGTGGTGCCAGGTCAGTAGGCCAAGACTGGGTTTTGGGGATTGTCAATGATTACTCTGTGTTTATGCTACAAAGCTAGAGGTACAAACTTCTGGGGAACAGAATACTATTTAGCCTGTCCTGTGCTATAGCAGAGTAATGGTCTGTAGGACATAGACATTAATACTGTTTCACTGTAGGATACCTTCTTTAAAATGTCTCTATTTTCTAAACTAGAATGCTTTAATTTTAGTCACATTCTTAGCTTCTTTTAATTAGAATATATTTTACTGGGCTGTCTCATGCCTGTAGTAAATATTTCTTATTTTTTTCTAAGTAATAACTGACAAACTGTAATGCTTCATGTGTCACATTAGATGGGCAGTATATCATGAAATAAAGGTTGCATCTTTTACTTCCCACTAGTAAATCATTTTATCACATTCATGGTTTTCAGAAGCCTGAAACATTTGTCCTTCATATGTATTTTTATTCTTATTTATGACTTATTACATTCCTCTTACTAATATACTTTCTATATCCTATTTACCTTCTGTTTTGTCTTTTAGCTGGGGGCTCATACTTTATGATTTCCCGGGCACTGGGCCCAGAGTTTGGTGGGGCTGTTGGCCTGTGCTTTTATCTTGGTACCACCTTTGCAGCAGCCATGTATATCCTTGGTGCCATTGAAATCTTTCTGGTGAGTAATGACTTAATTTTTGTCTACTATACAGAAGAGAGATAGATTCGGGTTTATTTTGTTCTTTGATATCAAAGCTTCTGAGAGATCAGCTATAAGAATAAATCAGGTGATGGATTGCTAACCTGTTGCTGGCCTCTTATTGTGAATATGAGGTAGAAAGGTTGAAGTACCTACCCTTTGCCAAACAGTCCCTTACTCTCCACCCAATCACCACCACTCTACCACCTAAACCAAGAAGTTAAAGTCTTGGAGACAAGACTTGAACCAATGGGAAAAGTCAAATAAAGTTTATCTCTTTCGATATCTTCATCGCCATGAAGTAAAATGTTTTTAATTTCTCTATTTATTCACTGAGATATATTTTTAACTATTTAAAGTAGTGATAGCAGAAGCAGAGCTCAAGGTAATCATTATAATTATTTTATATAACCCTTTGAATAAAATTATTCATTTATTCCTTTTTTTCCTTTTTGGAAATATAGTTTTTCAGAGCAGCATGTATAATAGACCAAAACAAACAAACAAACAAAATCCATGACATCCCATTTATGTAGGCATTTCGGATCCAAATTGGAATTAGGCTAAATCTCTAGTCATTTTCTGTCCCAGCTTTGCTTTCCTTTGTGGAAGCAAATGAAAACTACAGCCTTTTTTTTCTTTTTTTTTGTCTCTACCTAAGATGGAAAACTACAGCCCTTTTATTATTGATTATTTTGAAATGACCTAATTTATTTATTTATTTTTTTTCGCCTAACAGGTATATATTGTTCCCCGGGCTGCCATCTTTCGCAGTGATGATGCATTCAAGGAATCAGCAGCCATGCTAAATAATATGCGTGTCTATGGCACAGCTTTTTTGGTCCTCATGGTATTGGTGGTATTTATCGGCGTACGCTATGTGAACAAGTTTGCTTCACTTTTCCTGGCCTGCGTCATTGTGTCCATCTTGGCCATCTATGCTGGAGCCATCAAGTCATCTTTTGCCCCTCCACACTTCCCGTACGTGTCTGTCTCTCTCCTAGCCATCATTATTGGGTAGTCATTGACACTATCTGGTGGTGTGATCATTTCAAGTAAGACTATCACAGAGTCTTCCCAAAATTTCCCTCTTGGATAAGCCCACATAGACTTCCTTCCCAGCTTAAGCAAGAAGACTCCCAACAAACTATATTCTGTCTATCCTCTTTCTTGCCAGGGTGAGGAACCTGTAGCCATGGGGCCACATGTGGCCCTCTAGATCCTTGAGTGCAGCACCTTAACTGAATCCAAACTTCACAGAACAAATCCCTTTATTGGTTCTGTAAAATTTTCAGTCAGTCAAAGGGCCACACTCAAGGATCCTAAAGACCACATGTGGCCCCAAGGCCACAGGTTCCCCACCCCTAATAGGGACTAGCTTTTGTAATCTTGTTACAGAGATTATCTTTGGAAAGTTACGTGGATCATCTGGGGATCAAACTCATCAGTTCTATGTTGATTTAACCAGATTATAGAAAAATAGATTTTTTAATACAAAAAGACAGGTCCGTTAAGGTTTAATGACTTGCCCCAAAGTTAATTAATGACAGAGGAAGAACATGAACCCTGCGATTTCCTGACTTGCCATCCAGTGTTTCTTCTACTATGCCATGCTATATGATGTCAGTGATAGATTCCATCATAAATTTTTAGTCTGCTTATCTAGAGCCTGTGAAATAGCTGAGGATCCTTTTTGGAGTCATAAAAGTTCTACAGGTTACATTCTGGCTATATCTCAATTTGGGAAATTCCATTTCGACTTAAGTTCTCCTTTGCTGCTTCTCCTCTTTTTTTGGTTGGTAAAAGGTCATGATGCATGGTATTTTCTTTAAGATAATAGAGCAAAACAAGACAAAAAACCTAGAGGAATATGTGAAATATGACTGGGCAATATTAAGAGCTGTTGAAACTGAGTAATAGGTACATGATTCATTATGTACTTATGCGGTCATTTTGCAGATTTTTAAAAGTTGCTTTGTTTGACTTGAGGGCTATTTTAATTGTGGATGTTTGATTCCTTTGTTCATATTTATGTCTCTGGGTTAAAGAAAAAAATAAAACCAACAGTTAATATTTGTATTATCCTTAAATACTCTCACTCCCTCTGGGTCTAGGCTTAAGTTCAAAAGCAGTTTTTTCTTAGGCCATAGGGGTACGTGCTTTTTAAAAATTCTAGCCAAGCTGTTTTCCTCACAACGATAGCCAGAAGGTTCAACTGTTTGAATAACATTTTCTAGGGAATTGTTACCAATGTAAGGCTTTTCTAGGCCAAAGAAAATACAGGCATTTTATTTTTTAAATAAGAAGAACAAAAGGACTTCAGGATTCTTTTAGACCTAACAATTTTAGCCTAAAAACTTTAGAAGATGAGTCAGCATAGTGTCTTCAGGCAGTTCTTCAATTTGAATTCTGTCACTGCAGACTGCCACCTATGACCTTGGGCCAAATACCTTACATATTTCCCTAACCTTCAGTTAACTCTATAACTCCCTAAAGTTCAGTTCCATCCTTCACAACATAGAAATACCAAGACTAATACATCCTGTGATTGCTATAAAGATTAAATTAGCAGAAAATGTAAATCAACATTCACAGTGCTAGTCACCCATAACAGTAGAAACTCTTAGAGATGAAATTTTATTTTTCCTTTACTGATCTATTTTCTATTTTTAGTGTATTTTTCTCTCACTTGACCTTTCTACCTATTTGTTTTCACTTAGGGTCTGCATGCTGGGCAACCGCACCCTTTCATCAAGACACATTGACATTTGCTCTAAGACCAAGGAAATTAACAACATGACAGTCCCATCAAAGTTATGGGGCTTCTTCTGTAACTCAAGTCAGTTTTTCAATGCTACCTGTGATGAATACTTTGTTCACAATAATGTCACTTCAATCCAGGGCATTCCTGGATTGGCTAGTGGTATCATTACAGGTAAGTTAGGGGTTATTGGAGAAGTTTTTTCTTGTTGTCTGAGGAAAATAGGCTTTGACATCTCTATTGTTCATGAAGACTCACTGCTGTGGTGCCACCTCCCTACTTAAGTATAGCACACAGCTTTTTCTTTTTTTTTTTGGAGACAGAGTCTTACTCTGTTGCCCAGGCTAGAGAGCTGTGGCATTAGCCTAGCTCACAGCAACCTCAAACTCCTGGGCTCAAGCAATTCTTCTGCCTCAACCTCCCTAGTAGCTGGGACTACAGGCATGCGCCGCCATGCCCAGCTAATTTTCTCTCTCTCTCTCTTTTTTTAGCTGGCCAATTAATTTCTTTCTATTTTTAGTAGAGACGGGGTCTTGGTCTTGCTCAGGCTGGTTTCGAACTCCTGACCTTTAGCAATCCGCCTGCCTCAGCCTCCCAGAGTGCTAGGATTACAGGCATGAGCCACTGCGCCCGGCCTGTTTTTATTTGTGTTTTATTATGTAATGCATATGTGTGTATATGTACTCACATAGAAGCAAACATACCTTTAAATGAGGAGTCTGATTTGGAATGTTGTTTGGTTAGGAAATTAGTTAATCATCTTTCCATACTGCTGTTGCTTATATTCCATTTGTCTCACTGCAGAGAATCTTTGGAGTAATTATCTACCCAAAGGAGAGATCCTTGAAAAGCCCTCAGCCAAATCTTCTGATGTCTTAGGCAGCTTAAACCATGAATATGTTCTTGTTGACATCACCACCTCCTTCACTCTTCTGGTGGGAATCTTCTTTCCCTCTGTCACAGGTAAGCAGATAGGTGGTTGTCTATATTAGAAGCTGTCAGACCCAGGGAGTGATTTTTCTCAGGAAACAGAATTATATTCTCAGGATTCCTAGATTTGTCTAGTTTTTGGTATCAGTATGAATATCAAAGTGTTCAGGAACTCAAGAAATTAACTTGTTTTTTTCCCCCCCTCTAAAGGTATCATGGCTGGATCAAACAGATCTGGAGATCTGAAAGATGCTCAGAAGTCTATTCCCATTGGTACTATCCTTGCCATCCTGACCACCTCCTTTGTCTGTATCCTTTTCATGGCTCCAGTCTGAGTCTTAGTCATAGGAACATGCAGTGGAACAAGGGTGGTCAGTATTTTTATTCTGGTAATAAGTATATCTGTTTTCTACCACCTCACTTCTTGCCAGATAATCTGCCCACATCAAATATAAAATTCAAGAAAGAATTTATAGGAATAGTGAATTTAGCAACTCATTTTACTGACAGAAGAAATATCCTGAATGTCTACTTTCTATCTCATGTTAAAGGGAAAATAGCAGTTTCCTTGACTCTTAATATGACAGATTTAAGCAATGTTGTCCTTTTTGGTGCATGTATTGAAGGGGTTGTTCTCAGAGACAAGTGAGTAGTTAATTTCTTTGTAACAATTATGTGTCTGTCTTCTGTGACATCTGATGATCCCACATACCTCCAAGACAGTTATAAACTCAAAAACCCAAGCTGAGGTATCAATCATGACTAACAATAAGAAAAAATATATATGTATATAGTTCCAAAAAACGTTTGTGAATAATAAGGGCCAGTATGTTGTTATAAATATGTGAGATGCAGTGAATATAGCTCTTCAAACAAGCAGTGAATTTGTTTGAATAACAAGGACTTCCCTGTACATTTACATTTGGTATAGTTGAGAAACTATACCAAAAGTGGAAACTATACCACAAGTGAAGGAGGGCAAGTTAAAAACAAAAACAGAAAAACCCTTTTCAGTGTCTCTATTATCTCCTCCATAAAAGTATGTATGTAATTCTGTTTGGCATTGTAAATAAAAGCCTGAAACTTTCTTCATTTTCTTCATGAAAGCTGCTGTATTTATTTTTCCTTTCCTCTCACCTATGAATGTAAAATATGTTTTTGCAAGAGATTCCTAGACAAACCTGCTACTTCTCATATTTTCTTTATCTTGGTTAATAGCTTCACCACTAGTCCTCTCTTAAGACAGAAACCTAAGTGTCATCCTAGATGTTTCCATAAATTCCTTCATCAGTTGGTTTCTGAGCCCTGGAAATTCTACCTTTCAACATTAATGGATTCATTCTTTCCCCTATTCTTTGTATAGGCCTTTCAGGACTTTTTGCCTATATTATTGTAATAATCTTCCTTTTAATTTTACCACCTTCCGATCCTCGGTCCACACTGCCACCAGAATGATTTTTCTAAAACACAAATTTGATCATACAAACCTCCCTCCTTCGGAGCTACCACAGGCCCTCCAAACCCATCCCTGATCTGGACCTCTCTACGTCTTTCTTATCTCCCGCCATTCCCTCATAAGCTCCCTGTGCTCCAGCCATAACTTAAAGTTAAATATGTCTTTTTTCAGATCTCCAATTATCTACACGTTTCTCTGTGCAGTTTCCTTTGCTTAGAATAGGTTTCTCCCACCAGGCTGACTCACATTTGTCCTCTAAGACTAGGCTAAGTGTCTTTCCTATAAAGCTTTTTCTATACTCAGATGGAGATAACCACTCCTCCCTTTGTTTAACCACTATATTTGAACATACTATATTACTGCATTTACGATACTATGTTGCTGCTATTCATTTTCATATCACTCTAGATTGAGCTGTAAGCAGCACGGTGTGTGTGTGTGTGTGTGTGTATGTAACAGTGTGTGTATATATATGTAGGTGTGTATATGTACATATATGGTATAGTATATTATTATACTATTATAATGGAGGATTTATGAAGGTTTGGTAAATTATACCGTAATATAAAAATTATTAATGAGAATGTAAATTGGAATACTATTTTGGAAAACAGGTGGTAATTATCTACTAAAGTTGAACATGCGCAAACCCATGACTCAGCTATTCCACTTCTAGGTATATCCAACAGAAATGCATGGACATATGCATCAAGAATTTTGCACAAGCATTTGCATAGTGGCATTATTATTTTTTTTTTGAGACAGGGTCTCACTTTGTTGCCCAGGCTAGAGTGAGTGCCGTGGCATCAGCCTAGCTCACAGCAACCTCAAACTCCTGAGCTACAGCGATCCTACTGCCTCAGCCTCCCGAGTAGCTGGGACTACAGGCATGCGCCACCTTGCCAGGCTAATGTTTTCTAGATTTATTAGTTTGCCAATTAATTTCTTTCTATTTATAGTAGAGACGGGGTCTCACTCTTGCTCAGGCTGGTCTAGAACTCCTGACCTCGAGCAATCCACCCGCCTCAGCCTCCCAGAGTGCTAAGATTACAGGCGTGAGCCACCACGCCCAGCCCTACATTTCTTAATATTCATGTCTATCTCAATTTTGATTCTCTAAAAATTATAAATAGAAAAATGTAAGATAAATGTCTTTCTAGTCTTCAATCTAAAGTTACTTCCAGATTAAATTACCCACTCTCTTTCCTTCCCAGGTTTGGGGATGCTGTGGAAGGTAATTTGGTGGTGGGCACCTTATCTTGGCCATCCCCGTGGGTGATTGTTATTGGCTCCTTCTTTTCAACATGTGGGGCTGGACTTCAGAGCCTCACAGGTGCACCAAGGCTGCTACAAGCTATTGCCAAGGATAACATCATACCATTTCTGAGGGTGAGTGACCCTTTTCTCTGCCCTCTTCTTTTTTTCCAGGTTTTATGAAAAACAGTATGGTGTTTGTGGGCTTAGGAATAAATGTGAAGATGTGGGGTTTTAGTACAAGACATTCTAAATCCCTAATGTGAGTTTGTATGTGATTTCTATAATGGTGTTTAGAAAATATCACAATTGTAACACCATTATCTTCCAGATGTCTGAAACTGTAGGATAAAGGAATCAGGTAGGAGCATTGACTCAACTCTCTTGTGTCTGATATTTTTTCCTTCTATACATAGGTTTTTGGCCACAGCAAAGCCAATGGGGAGCCTACCTGGGCTTTACTTCTAACTGCTGCCATTGCAGAGCTGGGAATTCTCATCGCCTCCTTGGATCTTGTGGCCCCAATTCTTTCCATGTAAGAGCCAGTTATTTTCTTCAGTTATTCTTGTTTAGATATATGTTATAATACATGTTAATTTCCATCTATCATATAACAGTAGTGATAACAGAATAGACCAAATATAGTTGTAATTTCACTTAAAACATTCCGGAGAACTTTCATGTAAGGGTCACATTTATGACTCATTATATTATTTTTTTTTTCCATTTATGTAACTTCAAAAGTTCTTTGCCTTCATTTCTGATTCATTATCCATTGGTTGTAGCTTTTACCACTACTGTTAGCTTTGTATTCATTCATCTGTGGCCTACTGATGACTTACTACCTACCTGGCTCCCAGAATACAGTATTCTGGGAATGCAAAGATGGATAAGACACAGTCGTAAGGAACTGATATAGATAAGGAAACCAATGATCCCTGTATGGTGTGATGAATACCATGGTAAAGGTGAACACTGGGTGCCATGGGGACACCAAAGCAAGGCATCTAAACAGACTGGGACTCGAGAAAGATCTTCTGGAGGAAGTGACACTTGTATCTTGAAGGATGACTGGTTATTCGCTAACATAAAAGGGGTAAAGAATGTTCCAGTCAGGGAATGTGTATAAAGCAATAGAAGAATGAAATAATGTAGCACATCCAGAGAATTAAAAGTAGTTAGACTTGGCTAGAGTTGAGGGAGCATGATAGGGAAAGTAGTAGGCTAGCGAGGTAGGTAGAACCAGATCACGAAGTACCTGAAACTTTAACTTGGAAGTGCTGGATAATCTTTTGAGAACAAAATGATTATGTTTATAATGATCTGTTTAGTATAAAAGATGGATTAGGAGACTAGAATTGAGCTGGAAGTGCTAATTGGAAAGAAGAAATGAGAGCCTGAACTAAGGTGATAGTAGTAGAGATGAAAAGGAAGAAAAGAAGTTTAGAGATTTTTAAATAGGTAGAATTTGCAGGATTTGACAAGTGAATTTGAAACAAGGGTAAGTAAGGAAGAGGAAACCTGGATTATCCCAAGAACAATTGGGTAGAGAGTGGTTATCACTGACTGAGAGAGAAAACATAGGAGGATGAGCAGGTTTATGTGAAGAGGTATAAATTTCTCTGCTTTCTACTTAATCGAGGCTTAGTGGACTAGAAACAGACAAAAGGTCTCCAGTTACTTAAAATGATTATAGCCCTTTTGTTACGACAGTAGGTTCTGTTGCTCTGTGGCAAACATATCTTGCTCTTGCTCTGTAAACCTATAGCTTGCCCTTCCTCAATATACTTCTTTTCATGCTTTAAGAAAATTATTTTACAATTATAATCATTCCCCTTACTCTTTTTATTCTTACAGGTTTTTTCTCATGTGTTACCTCTTTGTGAACTTGGCATGTGCCTTGCAAACATTACTTAGAACACCGAATTGGAGACCCCGATTCCGCTACTACCATTGGTAAGTTTGCTTTTTTTCTTCTTTTTACCCACATCATTGAACTAGGAGACTTTGGGTTCCTGATACATTTTTTTTTTCTTGGCAACTCATTCCATACTGTCTGTTTCAACTTAAAATTCTCATCTGAATCCCCGTCCTCCTATCCCATTTTTCCTATATCACTTTATAATAACTTATCCACTAAGGGAGGGGGTCGAGGGAAATATATGTAACCTCAACATTTGTACCCCCATAATATGCTGGAAAAATTTAAAAAATAAATTAATTAATTAAAAAAAACTTATCCACTGAGAATAAAGATCAAAACTACAAAATAAATATTTCTAGACTGCTACATTCTTCAGGTTAAAACAAGCTTCCGTTTGCATATCAATTTTCCCATTTCTCACTTAGGGCTGTGGGATCAGGTGACCCAAGTTCATATCTCAGCTCTACTGTTTCCTAGCTGTGTAACCTTCAGCAGAGCATATAATCATGTAACATTTCATTTTACTCATTTGTAAAATGGGACTAGTAAATCTAAAGTGCTTAGCATGGTACCTGGTACATAGTAAAGCTCCCAATGAAATGTAGCTGTTGGTGTTGTTGTGGTTGAGTCTCTTCAGCCCTGAAGGATCCATCAGAGTTATTTTAGCTACCTTCCCATTTCTTTCGCATCACTTTTCACTCATAGTTAAGTGTTCTTTAATTATGTCCTATATGGGGAGGGTAGGAATGGGGTGAAGGATAAAAACTTACCTGTCAAGGTACAATGAACACTGTTCTGGTGGTGGGCATGCTGAAAGCCCTGACTGCAGCATTGTAGAGTGTATCCATGTAGCAAAAATTTTTGTATCTCCTTAATGTTTTGAAATTCCTTAATTAAAAAAATAAAATAATTGAAGCATTAATAAAAAGAAGAGAAATATCACCACTAGAAATTTCCCAGAAACATTCTCCTGATTCCACATAGGTGCCTGCAGTAAATGGTAATCCATTTGGTTTAGTCTGGACTACCCCATTCCAAAATAAAAAAAAGAATGGCAGGTTTATACTTTAAATTTCTTACTTTACTAAACATAGAGGAAGTGGAAGCTAAGCAAAGAGAGGAGCTGAGACCCATACTAATCTTCCCTGTCCACAGAACACTTGCTAAAATTCCTTATCAAGGAGGGAATGACAAAGCTAGCTCACACTTTCTATAGGATGTTTCTGATTGGTTATACTTTCAAATGTGTTTACTAATTCAGTTAATTATTTACTGTATGTGAAAAATGAGCCATTCAAACAATCACTTTTTATTACAATTCCAGAGAAGACCATAAAGGACATTTATATATAACAAAATACCACATCTGGATGGGACTCCAATCACCAGCTATTTACTAAATAAATGCCCAGAGAAAGATAGCTCATCTTTCATTTCAGTCATCATTAAAAGAAGCAGCTAGAAAAAAATAAAAATAAAATTATATCCTATATGTACTGGTTGCTACATTTCTTTTTGCTAACTTTCTCCTTGATTCCTTTCTGGCTTCACTTACCAAGGGGGACAGTGATGTGATCTTTATTGGCAAAAATTTAGATCTTCCACTGATTTTAATGCCTCTGGTCCTCTTTCTAGCTTTAACTCTAGTTAAAAGTTCATTACAGCCGGGCATGGTGGCTCACACCTGTAATCCTAGCACTCTGGGAGGCCAAGGTGGGCGGATGGCTCGAGGTCAGGAGTTCGAGACCAGCCTGAGCAAGAGTGAGACCCTGTCTCTACTACAAATAGAAAGAAATTAATTGGCCAACTAAAAATATATAGAAAAAAAAATTAGCTGGGCATGGTGGCACATATCTGTAGTCCAGCTACTCAGGAGGCTGAGGTAGGAAGATCTCCTGAGCCCAGGAGTTTGAGGTTGCTGTGACCTAGGCTGATGCCATGGCACTCTAGCCCGAGCAACAGAATGAGACTGTGTCTCAAAAACAAAAAACGTTCATTATGAATAATTTTTTTGTGTTGCTATTTTGCTTCTATTAATTTTTTATGTTTCTCTTTACCACCCTATATTTTCATTAGATCCTAGTTTTCTCCAGATTAACACCTCTCTTATTCATTCTTTAAAATTCATCATAGATCTAGGAAGTTCATTCTTTACATGGAAAAAACTTCAGTAAATGTATTTTCTACCTGATTTATTTGACCAAAATAAGCATTTCATTACTGTCTGCCAAGTTTCTCTTATGTATAGTCAGGAAACTAATGGTAAATTTTTCTCAGTGGATTCTGCAAATATTCATAAAAATTTTAGGAATATTTACATGAAAATTTTAAAAAGATTATAGAGTTATTAACATTTCTAACTGCGTATTCCGTCCCTGCTTTTCCAAGTATTAATTGTCCTCATAACTACATAGTGTCCTGTTCATCTGTTTTTTCAGTAATAGGAAACATTTTCTAGTGCAAAACCTAGTTTGGGGCTCAGTGAACATCTACTGACAATTGCTAGTCCATGAAAAGACACCTGTAGAGTTGAGAGTAAGCATTTAAAAACTTTTATAGCAATTTGACATTGCCATAGCATCCAGGCATGTGATAATTTTTCTCATAATTCATTTTTATTGCATTTTACAAAAGTTCTCTCTGTAACAGATTGAAAATGTTAAAAAATAATCCCTCATCACAGATAGTTTGAGAAGCACCTCTAGCACAGGCTTCTTTTTCAGCTGCTTAAAAAGATATTTTTTTGTATATGTGTTTTTTAATTTTCTAGGACCCTCTCTTTCATGGGAATGAGTATTTGTCTGGCTCTGATGTTCATTTCTTCCTGGTATTACGCCATTGTAGCTATGGTAATAGCTGGTATGATCTACAAATACATTGAGTACCAAGGGTGAGTGTGGATTTGACCTTGATCTCTGCAAAATGTAGCAAGACTAGTTTGGTGTTAGGGCCAGCTCAATGAAAATTATGTTAAGGACCTAGGGAACTTCATATGTTCATAACTAAATTTTGTACCCCTAATTCTCTTAACGATCTTATAGATGCAAGCTTTTCATCACAAGGGAAACCTGTTGAGAAAGTATGAATGGATCAGTGAAAAACAACTAAAAGGACATATCCAAATAATAAGATCAGCACTAAACAAAATATAACACAAATAAAAATATTTTTGCTGGTTTCTTCGGTCAAGGAATTGACTGAAATGAAAAAGAGATTAGAAAATAACTTTAACAATTAAGACCTCACTAACAGCTTCCACAAATGAGGAATAAATAACATTCTGATTCAGAAGATTACATTGAATTGTACTTTCTCCTTGTTTCAAAATAAACTCTGGGTCTGTACTAATTTTCTAATCCAAATTGCTATTTTACATTATTGCTTTTGAACTGTTCCATAGAAGTATCAAGTAAATGACCCTTTCGAGCTTTATTCTGAACTATTCATGCAATGCAGTCTGTTGGTACAGGGTGGTGTTGATCTGCAAACAGTGTGTGAAAGAGCATTATATAAATCATTAATCTGAGTTTTAATCTTCTACCTGTGTATGCTACTTTTAGATTCAGAAAAAATAAACTTTTATTTTTTAAAATTATCTTTATTGTAGTTTAAATCTATCTCTGCCCTTTTCTCCTTTTTCTCCCAGAGCTGAGAAAGAATGGGGTGATGGTATTCGAGGGCTGTCCCTCAGTGCAGCCCGGTTTGCTTTGCTTCGGCTGGAGGAAGGACCACCACACACTAAAAACTGGAGGTAAAGAAATCAACACTCGTGGTGTTTGGCACATAATTAACACACAAAAAATGTGTGCTCTGTTGATTATAAGATAAGGAAATCATGTGGCTGAAGGGATTTGTACAGTGGACCTGTACTGGACTATTTAAAATCTTTGATTTCCTTATTCCCTTTTCTTCGTGTGATTTATGATCTAGATTTCTACCATTTTTTACTCTTTCTTGAAGACTGACCAACTTGAGATAATGCTGGGAGCATTCAGAATAACCCAGTACTCTCATCCTATCATTTCCTCTGGTCCCTTCCTTCTATCAAATTATATGTTTTATACAGATTTCCTGAATTAAAAGGTGGAATTTGTCATTCTCTTCCCCAAACCCAAAGTGCTGTTTCCTCTCCACTCCCCACCAACCTCTTCACAGGCCTCAGTTGCTTGTACTACTGAAGCTGGATGAAGACTTACACGTCAAGCATCCTCGCCTCCTCACCTTTGCCTCACAGCTCAAAGCAGGAAAGGGTCTCACTATTGTGGGCTCTGTCATCGTGGGGAACTTCCTAGAGAACTATGGTGAAGCCTTAGCTGCTGAGCAGGTAAGAATCAAGACTTTTGGACCTTAGCTTATAGCTTTGCAATGTTAAATAGTAAGACCTCAGTCTTCTAAGTTAATCTCATTCCTTTACGATCGAGGAGGTTTCCTGCTTAATGCTGACTTTTCTTTTTTCTTTTTCTTTTTTTTTTTATTTTTTTTTCAGAGGATATTGTTATTTTATTAATGCTGACTTTTAAACAGTCATTTTCTCCCAAATAATATGAGCCAGAAGTTAGTCACTAATTCTATCTTCTCATTTAAAGCAATACTAAGTTGTAAAAGTATTAAAGCTAAACATTATTTCCAGATAGATTGCAAACACTGATCTGAGCACTGAGAGAAGTCATGTAAATAAATCTATCTCTTAGAGGGTTTCTCTCAATCTTGTGACAGTAAGGAGCAGTGAACAACTTTTCTTCCCCTTTGCTAATCTATATGGTATCATGAGCAGGATTCCTTTGCTATTTCTAATTAGCTGTACTGAACATTAAAGTTCTACCTTAAGAAAGAATTAGTTTTCACTCTAATACTTATTATAAATGATAGAACTAATGGTATTGTTTAGATAAGTATTCAATTGAATTTCAGAAGTTTTACCAGATTTCATTTTGGAATGCTTTGAAATCCTAAAAACTAGAAATGCTAAGAAACATTAGTCCAGGATGATGGTAATAATTAATAAAAAGTACACAAGATTATGGCAGGACATAAGGGCTCACTCTTGTAATCCTAGCACTTTCGGAGAGCAAGGTGGGAGGATAGCTTGAAGCCAGGAATTCAAGACCAGCCTGAGCAAGAGCAAGTCCCTGCCTCTACAAAACACAGAACAATTAGCCAAATGTGGTGGTGCACACCTGTAGACCCAGCTACTCTGGAGGTTGAGACAGGAGGATCACTTGAGTCGAGGAGTTCAAGGTTGCAGTGAGCTATGATGAGGCTACTATACTCCAGCCTGTGTGACAAAACAAGACCCTGTTTAAAAAAAAAAAAATACACAAGGTTGTAAATTAAGAGAGATTGATTTTTATCCTAGCCATATCACTGACTTAATCTGTGCTTTTGAGAAAATAGTTCCATTTTCCACACCATTATGCCATTATGCCTTTTCCACCAATAGGATGCAGTAAGAGTAGATGGGATATTATCTCCAAATTGGCTTGACTAAATAAAAGAATAGTAAAGCAAATACAAGTGTCATCAATAATCACCATTAAAATGTCAAAAAAGGAGAGGCAAAAAAGAAAACATACCTAGGGTCAGGTGTGGTGGCTCACACCTATAATCCTAGAACTTTGGGAGGCCCAGGCAGGAGGATTACTTGCACCCAGCAGTTCAAGACCAGCCTGAGCAACAAAGTGAGTGTCTGTCTCTACAAAAAATAAAAGAAGTAGCTGGGCATAGTGGTGCATATCTGCCTGTAGTCCTACTTGGGAGGCTGAGGCAAGAGGATCACTTGAGCCCAGGAATTTGAATTGAGCTGTGTTGAGGCCACTGCATTCTAGCCTGGGTAACAGAGCAAGACCCCATCTCAAAAAAAGAAAAAGAAGAAGAAAATATTTCTGAGAAAATTCTAAAGTGAAACTGAATCATCAGCTTGAGTTTCTAGTAAGATAAGTCAGGGCATGCTGGAGCTGAGGCAGGAAGGGGATTGTGTTCAGATGAGTGAATCATCATGGTCAATTGAGAAAGAATGCTGAATATCCACCATGTAGAGATCACCATTCTCAATTTTTTGATATATTACAAAGGAAGAAAAGCAGAATAAAGGAAAAGGCAGCAAAACTACATGTAGACAACTAGCAATAGCTGTAAAAATATAAAGTAAGCACTTAGTGAAAAAGACAAAGGATCATGAAATGTCATCAGATAATTTTAACTTTTTGGAGTTCTCTATAGGAGATACAATCTTATGCCAAGTTTAGAAAAAGGAGGGGAATATAACAGGGAGAAGGATTAATGGGTTAAAAGGTCCAAGGTAAAGCAATTTGGTGTTGAGGTCCTGTGTCTCTTTCAGACCATAAAGCACCTCATGGAGGCAGAGAAGGTAAAAGGATTCTGCCAGCTGGTGGTGGCTGCCAAGCTGCGAGAGGGCATTTCCCACCTCATCCAGTCATGTGGCCTTGGGGGCATGAAGCACAACACGGTGGTGATGGGCTGGCCTAACGGCTGGCGGCAAAGTGAAGATGCTCGAGCTTGGAAGACATTTATTGGTACAAATCATTTCTTGTACAAACCCAAGGGCCCAAATAGGGGATATAATTAAATGTCTGTCACCCACTAGCCTCCTAAAGTAAGAGACTGTGCCATTGCTGAAAGATAGTCTTATAAGGCCACCTAAAAACTAGTAGTGATAACTAGATTCTACCTACCCCCTCCAGGTTTACATGATGTTCATGAATTGTTTATCTCTGTCAAGTTTTGTGCTAGGAATCATCTCCAAAATGGCCATGTTTGTATCTGTGATTTCCCACATCGATATTCTCACAGGAATTGGAAGGATTGTTCTTTAGCATCAAAATCTCCCAATTCACATATTCACCCCCCTTAGAAATGTAGTAATCAGAATGTATCCAGTAACATAAACCATGGTTCTCAATCTAATTCTTTTAACTATTCAGATTTTTCTTGATGATTTTTTTTGTTACTTAATGAGTTATAACTTACTATGTAAATAGAATACCTTGCTCAAAGAAGTATAAAAAGAGCATTATCCTTACTTTCCTGACATGGTGTAAAAGCAAGACAAGCCTAAGAATTCTTCTCTGCTTATTCTGATTCTCTATTTTTATACCCCTAGGCACAGTTCGAGTGACAACTGCTGCCCATCTCGCTCTGCTGGTGGCTAAAAACGTCTCCTTCTTTCCCAGCAATGTGGAGCCATTTTCTGAGGGCAACATTGATGTGTGGTGGATTGTGCATGATGGGGGGATGCTCATGCTCTTACCATTCCTACTGAAACAGCACAAGGTATTTCAGACAACTTTTCCAAAAAGTCTTTCTTCCTGCTGTCCTGATTCACTAAACAAAGTCTTCCTCTTTGATTATGTAGTGTTGGGGCTTAGAATCAGGGATTGGGGATTATTCCTGACTCTCCCATTTTCAACCTTATGAGAAATAGTTGTGTTTGTATTTAATACCTACCCATCTCCAAGTAAAATTAAGCAAATAAATAAAGTTCCATATGAGCCCTTGGGGAAAAAGAATAAGAAGTGAACACATCTTTGAAAAGAAAAAAATACTAGAAACTTAAAGTATGTGTGTGTGTATTTCATACACACATATGCTCATACTTTGGTAAAACTAATGAAACTAAAATTTAAAATAGTAAATATTATACCTGGTGGCCAGGCGCGGTGGCTCATGCCTGTAATCCTAGCACTCTGGGAGGCCGAGGCGGGTGGATCGCTCAAGGTCAGGAGTTTAAAACCAGCCTGATTCTATAAATAGAAAGAAATTAATTGGCCAACTGATATGTATATAAAAAAAATTAGCCGGGCATGGTGGCACATGCCTGTAGTCCCGCTACTCGGGAGGTGAGGCAGAAGATCACTCAAGCCAGGATTGAGGTTGCTGTGAGCTAGGCTAACGCCACGGCACTCACTCTAGCCTGGACAACAAAGTGAGACTTGTCTCAAAAAAAAAAAAAAAAATTTTCCCATTTCTCACTTAGGGCTGTGGGTCAGGTGACCCAAGTTCAGATCTCAGCTCTACTGTTTCCTAGCT